TGTCAGATTCAAGTCAGGACTGTGATTGAGCCACTCAAGGACATTCACTTTCTTCTTTTTAAGCCTTTTGCTTTGAGTCACTGTCTTGCCGAAATGGGAATTTCCATCACACTTTTAAGTTTTAGAAACCTTAAGCAGGTTTTGCTTTAAGATTTCCCTCTACTTTGATCATTTGATCATTTTACACCATAATCTTGACAAACATCTCGGCCCATGCTGATGAGAAGCAATTCCATACCGTCATTCCGTAACGTAATGCTGAACCACTATTCTTGATTATAGGAATGCTGATGATTGGTAATTCACTGTGTTGGGCTTGTGCCACATGTAACTCCTTGCATTAAAACCAAAAACCAGTGAGGTTTCCCATAGCAAAGGGAAAACTTTTACAGTCAACGTTTTTTAGTGTTTTGGTTTTTCTTTGCAGTTTTTCTTGTAACTTTTTTCACATATCAAAACGCTCAGTACGAGCATTCAAGTTCCATTACTAAAACCTTGTGTGTACAAGACTATAATTTGGAGTGAACTAAATGGGGAATGGGTAGCATGGTGGAGCAGTGCTGGGGTCCATCACAGAGCTGGGGTCCAGGGTTCAGTTCCTGGGGTGCTATCTGTGTGGAGTTTGTATGTTCTTCCTGTGTTCATTTGGGTTTCCTCTGGGTACTCTCATGTGCTCCCACAGTCCTAGGTCATACTGGGAAATTAATTAGCCTGTGGTAAAATTGACCCTAGTGTGAGTGTGCGCATGTTTACATCTGTGTGTGCTCTGTAATGGATGGGAACCTTTCCACGGTGTATCCTGCCTTGTGCCTGTTGCTTGCCGGGACAGGTTCTGGCTCCTCCATGGCCCTGTATTGGATGAAGCATTCAGGAAATGGACAGATCTATTCTGTGCTTTATTTATGTTAGCTCTTGATGTCTGAAAGTCAAACCAGAGATTTGGTGTTGCATCTTGAGGTCTTGAGTGTGTTCATGTATGTTTTTTCTACTATATCCTAAAAAGGAGTTAAGTTAATGTGTTTTCCTTCAGTATTTAAAGCATTCATTTGGCAAGATAGAGTCTTTCTGAAGTACATTAGTGTGCTTAAGTAATTTATAGGCCAACATTCATCAATGCATGCAATTCAGCGGTGTGGATTTGAAAAGAGAATAAATTAGAGAGTAAGTTATTAGACGGACCTGTAATAAAAAAGGATTAGCCGGTTATGTTAGTAGTCTCTAAGAAAAACATTATTTTGCCACTTGTATCAGAATCAATTCTCATCTAGTTGAGCAGCTGCTTCATCAAACCATATTGCACTCTGCAGAGTTGTTAATTGGGCTGAATTGCAGCTACCATTTATATTAGTACCAGGAAAGGAATATGATAGTGTTTGGGTGAAGCTGATATACATAATACATTACATATTGCATGTGAATTATAAATATAAGAACATTAGAAAACGTTTTTAAATGAAGTGAAAGAACTAAAGAAGTGATTAGGTAATGCAGTAGACAGGAAGCATCCACTATATCAAATATTCAAAACACAAAGCTTAGGAGTCTTCATAAAAGGTCAGCAGCAGATGTTAAAAATGATCAATCTATGTTCTTGAGTAGAGCTAGCTGCCGCTGTGGTTCATCTGGGGCCATATTTTTACTCTGAAATGATCTGTGAAAATCCCTCATAGGCTTGATTTGTCTTCTCTTGCCACACAAAACTGTTCGGTGATGCTGTTTCTCTATCCCCAGTGTGAATTTAAAATACTATTTTTACATTTTTAGGAATAGCACAGCAGTTTCAGTAGCTATACTTCTTAGGTTAAGCTGCTAAATCCTTTCTTGAAAACATTTGTAACACGTCTCAAGGTCAGTATATTTTGTGGTTCATGAAAGGCTGCCATGCTTCTGCTCTGAATAGCATAGGATAACCTTCACACATAGACACGTGGTTTGGCATGGTATAATAGAACATCTTGACATGTTTTCTGCTCTTTAAATGCTAATGAAGTTAGGGTCAGATCGTAATCTCACACTTCCTCTCTCTTATGCATAAATATCTCACCTGCTAAATGCCCTCTGCACATACCTTTCCTCGCATCCAATTGAACCTTGCAGCCACTCCCTGGTTCATTCCTTGCAAATGATGGTGTTTCGTCAGCCTTGACATTATGGCACATTAACGCCAAACATTAACATATTAGGTATGCTGTGCCTTTATATTTTGAGCTAGTAAAATAGATTGTTGAAAAAGGCATGCTAATGCATAGTTAATGTGAAAAAAATATTCCATCCATCCATAAAGGTGGAGTGGTGGCTCTGTGGCTGGAAGGTTGCTGGTTCAAATCCCGTGGCCGGCAGAGGAATCCTACTCTGTTGGGCTCCAGAGGTGCTGTGCAGTAGCTGACCCTGCGCTCTGACCCCAAGCTTTTCTTCCTGTCTGTGTGTTTCATGGAGAGCAAGCTGGGGTATGCGAAAAAGATGAATTCCTAATGCAAGAGATTGTATATGGCTAATAAAGTGATCTTATCTTAGCTTATTTTCACACTTTTTTTATCCAAAGAGTCACATGTATCCAAAGTGTCACGGGGGAACCGGATCCTATCACATCAAGCAATGGTCAAAAGGCAGGGCAGACCCAGGGCAGACACAGACACAGACATAGAGGCAAACACACAAACTCACACCAGGACCAATTTTCCCAGAAACCAATTAACCTATCAATTAAAATAACCTTGTCTTTGGACTGTGGGTGACAACTAGAGAACCGGAGGAAACTCACATGAACATGGGGAAAATGTACAAACTCCCCACAGACAGCACCCCATGAAATGAACCCAGGGCCCCAGTGCTGCAAGGCAGCAAAGCTAACCTTCTTCTTTAGAAGAGCCTTTACTTAACTGGTTCCATTCTTTACCCCTCTGCTTCTACTTTTCTTAGTACCACCATCCACAGTCTCCTCTGTATATTGTAATTGTGTTTTATCTTGTGTATTCTTTTTATTTATTGTTGTTGTCATTCTGTAAAGCGCTTTAAGAAGCCACCTTTAAAGGCGCTATATAAAATAAAGTTTATTGTATTATTATTAACCACTGTGCCAACTAGAAGAAATAGTTTTATTTTGAAAACAATTCTCAACAGTGAGTGCTTGGAAGAAAAAGATTAGAAAAAAGAGTGTTTTATCAAGTGCAAAGGGGCATTGCACAATAGCATATGATAAGCGGTCTTCCATTTGTTCTCCTCTGTAATGAAAAGAGCAGTAAGAATAATTGTATTCAGACTAGGAGGACACCAGTTTCCATAGAAACATACAGTATGTCATCCTTAAACTTGTATTTACTGTTTTGCTTTATTTAACTCTCAAGCATTTTAAAGTATAATAGATCTTCCTAAGTCCAGATCCCTGTCATGGGTTGTTAATGTAGTGCACATCTGAAAAAGAGACACAAAACTGAAGGGATACTGAACCAACTAATTATAGATCATGTTCTATTATTCTTTTACATATAAGGTTATGGAAACAATTATTAAAGAAAACCAGAGGACCCGACTAGAAGACCATCTATATGTAAATAAGCTCCTAGAGAATAATCAACATGGGTTTCATAAAGGCGGGCCTTGCTGAATCAACTTTTTAGAGTGATTAGAATGAGCAACAACATTAAAGGATATATACAGCATGTATAATATGATGTATTGTAAAAGATTAAATCTCAAATTACAGGTGGTAGAATTTCTGGGAAAAATATTTGGATCCAGAGTTGTTTAACACATACAAAATAGACGTTACAGATAAGGGATGAATCCTCACATGGAAGTGATTTAATTTGTGTAGGTTCACAGGTATCTGTACTAGGACAACTGTTCTTCATAATTAACATAACTAATCTACATTCTCGTATAGTTAGCAAACTAGACAAGTTTCCAGATAATAATAAAATTGGAGGATAATTGAACACCAAAGCATATTAAATTAAAAACGTTTTAGATAAAATTTCAGACTGGAAAAACACCAGGCAAATGATATTCAATTATATTCAATGTACTGCAGAAAAGCCTGCCTGAAAGGTTTTGCGTGAAGGTAGTAAAAACAAACTATAAACACAAAATAGGAAACACAGATCTAGTAGAAACTACTTAAAAAAAAAACTTATCTGTGAATTTGACACATTAATGCATTTTCTAGGCCAAAGGGGAAGTAATTAAAAAGGCAAACTACATATTAGGATATAGAGTATACTGTAGTTAAAAGTATAGAAAGTATATAGGTATATAAAAGTAAAGAATTTGAAATCAAGAGGTGGTATATTAAAATTATATAATGCACTAAAGCCTGACTTAGAGTATTGCATACAGTCTTGGTCACCTCATTACAGAAAATGTATTGTTGCTCTGTAATCAGTCCAGAGATGGACAACCAGATACTTAAGGGACCAATGATACCAAGATTAAGGTAATATCCTCCACTGACAGACTAAAGGAACTAAATTATATTAGTCATGAACTTAGAGGACTAAGAATAAAAGTACATTTAATACCAAGAACATGAGACATCTGTATTCAAAGGGTTCGGGACATTGAAACAAGCTACTAAGCCATGTCTCTCCCCCGCAACAGTGAAATGGAAGAAACAGTTAGAAAATGGATGGATGAAATGTATTAAGTCTTGCAGCATCTGAGACCTATTGTAGGTTCAGTTTCTAGAGTGCTACCTGCATGGAGTTTGTATGATACAGTATGTTCTCCCTGTGATTGCATGGGTTTCATCCAACTGCTCAGTTTTCCTCCACTAGTCCAAAGACATGCTGTTAGGTTAATTGGCTTCATTGGTATGAGTGTGTGTATGTTTGTGTCTGTGTGTGCCTTGCGATGGACTGATGTCCTGCCCAGGGCGTATATTGTACCCTATATTAGCCAGGATCGGGTCTGGGCCATTGTGACCCTGAATTGGATAAGTGGTTATTGAAAGTAATGTGATGAATATATTGCGTAATAATATATTACTCCTTGTTTTAATACAGATATCAACACACATCATTATAGCACTGACAGACCGCCTCCAGAACAGGGGATGAGTGGATCCAGTTTCTATCATGGATACTCACAGTCACCTCCAGGCAATCTGCTGACAAATCCACAGACCTACATCTCTCTGGAACCTGAGAATGGAGAAGATGATGGAGAAGAGAATATAGTGTACCTCTGAGTCAATCTGCAGAGCAGTGCTTCGGCCTCAAGGAAGTGTTGTATATTTTCTCACTTAAACACTCAGAGATTAAAGAGCTGTTAAGAGGGTTTCATGTATACCTGTGTGTATATATTACAAATACAGGTTAGAATATGTATTATATACTGTATGCACATACAGTACTTGTTATTAGTGCTTAAACTGTACAAGCACATACAGTGGTGTGAAAAAGTGTTTGCCCCCTTCCTGATTTCTTATTTTTTTGCATGTTTGTCACACTGAAATGTTTCAGATCATCAAACAAATTTAAATATTAGACAAAGATACCACAAGTTAACACAAAATGCAGTTTTTAAATGAAGGTTTTGATTATTAAGGGAAAAAAAATAAAGGGCCAAACCTACATGGCCCTGTGTGAAAAATACCATTGCCCCCTAAACCTAATAACTGGTTGGGCCACCCTTAGCAGCAACAACTGCAATCAAGCGTTTGCGATAACTGGCAATTAGTCTTTTACAGCGCTGTGGAGGAATTTTGGCCCACTCATCTTTGCAGAATTGTTGTAATTTAGCCACATTGGAGGGTTTTCGAGCCTTGACCGCTGTTTTAAGGCCATGCCACAACATCTCAATCGGATTCAGGTCAGGACTTTGACTAGGCATCTCCAAAGTCTTCATTTTGTTTTTCTTAATCCATTCAGAGGTGGACTTGCTGGTGTGTTTTGGATCATTGTTCTGCTGCAGAACCCAAGTGCGCTTCAGCTTGAGGTCAGGAACAGATGGCCGGACATTCTCCTTCAGGAGTTTTTGGTAGACAGCAGAATTCATGGTTCCATTTCCTACAGCAAGTCTTCCAGGTCCTGAAGCAGCAAAACAACCCCAGACCATCACACTACCACCACCATATTTTACTGTTGGTATGATGTTCCTTTTCTGAAATGCTGTGTTATTTTTACGCCAGATGTAATGGGACACACACCTTCCAAAAAGTTCAACTTTTGTCTGGTCAGTCCACAGAGTATTTTCCCAAAAGTCTTGGGGATCATCAAGATGTTTTCTGGCAAAACTGAGATGAGCCTTTATGTTTCTTTTTGCTCAGCAGTGGTTTTTGTCTTAAAACTCTGCAATGCAGGCCATTTTTGCCTAGTCTCTTTCTTATGGTGGAGTCATGAACACTGACCTTAACTGAGGCAAGTGAAGCCTGCAGTTCTTTGGATGTTGTTGTGGGTTTTTTTGTGCCGTCTTGGATGAGTCATCGCTGCGCTCTTGGGGTAATTTCCTGGGAAGGTTCACCACTTTTCCATGTTTTCGCCATTTGTGGATAATGGTTCTCACTGTGGTTTGCTGGAGTCCCAAAGCTTTAGAAATGGCTTTATAACCTTTTCCAGACTGATAAATCTCAATTACTCTGTTTCTCATTTGTTCCTGAATTTGTTTGGATCGCAGCATGATGTCTAGCTTTTCAGGATCTTTTGGTCTACTTCACTTTGTCAGGCAGGTCCTATTTAAGTGATTTCTTGATTGAGAACAGTTGTGGCAGTAATCAGGCCTGGGTGTGGCTAGAGAAATTGAACTCAGCTTTCCAAAGATGTGATAAACCACAGTTGATTTATGTTTTAACAGGGGGGGGCATTCACTTTTTCACACAGGGCCATTTAGGTTTGGATTTTTTTTTCCCCTTAATAATAAAAACCTTCATTTTAAAACTGCATTTTGTGTTTACTTGTGTTATCTTTGTCTAATATTTCAATTTGTTTGATGATCTGAAACATTTCAGTGTGACAAACATGCAAAAAAGTAAGAAATCAGGAAGGGGGCAAACACATTTTCACACCACTGTACATAACATCTGTGTATTTCATATCCATCTGTATCATTTTTTCTGTTCATGTATTTTATTGCTTTAATGAGCAAAAAAACGTGCCTTGGGTCATGCATAAACCTTCAAATTGAGTCCTTTGTTTGGAGTGCAACACTGTGCCTTCATATTCAAAATAGCTACTTAAAAATATTTAACCTCAAATGCTCTCCTTTCTGCTTGTGCTCATGGTAAGAATTATTAGGCACCGTTTGCTCGGTGTTTCACACAGCATTTTATGCCAGAAGAGCTTGGCTGTCAAACCTGTCAGCACGTACTTCTCCCTTTTATTTGGGTGTCGCAGAACACGAGTAGCTACAATTGCGTACTTCATTATTTCATTCGAGACAGCCCTTTCCCCTAGCAGGTGTCTGGCTCTCCTACTAGTTTTTCAAATAGCCTATCCGTTTTGCTTACCATCATCTCTCCATAGCTGCTATTACTGCACAGCCTTTTATTTTCTTTTTATACATCTTGTTTTAAGTTCAGAGATTCAAGAATTGAAGCTTGCCACCTCTTGTGACAGAATCAGGTTGCTCAATTCCCGCGCACTATTTATAATGGCTGTTACAAATGATCAGAGCAGAGAAATCTGGAAAAATGCCTGATAGCACAGAAACTGGTTTGTCGCTTGATTGTCTTGGATGGGAGTGGGGGGTGGGAAATGCCACATGCAGCCATGCATCAGACAGGTTCTATTTATAAAATTGATGGAGTTGGAGAAATGCATTAATAATGAATAAATTGGTTAAGTCTGGTTCTTCAGACAGGGACCTGAGAACTGCGCAAAAAACGGTGTATAACACCACATTATCAGTTTCATTTTAAGGTTGTTATTTTCAAATATTTGTCTTCTTTTTTGTTATTTGTACACTGTCAGAGGATTCATTTGTATTCCCTTTGGGACTTAACTCTGAACATGCTATTTGCAATTTGAAGAATATAAGTTCTAACTATTATACACCAGATTACATTGTGGTCATATTAAAAAAAAATGATATGAAAAGCCAGAAAATTATAATGCCTTTGATAAAATTCTCCACAATTCCACACAGGAAATGTTTTTTTTATTATGAATTGCTCCAGCCACCTATTGGTTTGACCATTAATGTTGTCATGATTTAAAAATGCAAATAGCGAAATGAACAGCACAAAATGAATTCTTGGCACTAGTGCTGTAACATGTAATTGAATATAGACTGAGAAATTCTGAAAATACTGTTATCTTCTAAGAACAATCAAGTATTGGATGCAGTGCCAATTATTGTACCCTGTCAGTTTAGCTCACATGAAAGATTACTTTTATAAGATTTTTCAGCATGATTGTTTCACCAAATGTTTACATCAGTGTTTTATTACCAAGTTTATTTTCTGGTTATGTTTGAGTGTGACAATCTCATTATGCATTTCTTGGAAAACTGCAAAAATGGACTCTTTCTGGAAGTAATTTCTCTGTGTTTTTACATGGTAACATTTTCTAGTAGAGTTCTAATGTCAGGAAAGTTCAAATAATGTATATTAGCAGTTCAAACAATGAGTAAAAGCAGTGAAGCAGGGGGGTGATCACACATCTCCCAAACTCTCAAATTTATTTTAAAAATCTTACCATCGCATTGACACAAAATTATCCTCCAAAGATGATTGAAATCTATAATAACCATCTGAAGTAACAAGCTTTTACATTGGTGTCTAGCACCTTCTTCTGGCAATCTCACTTCATTTAAGTGCATTGCTCTGGAAATGCTCCTCCAGCTCTTGATTGTGACTGGCAGCTTCTCTTGAATCACACTTGTCAGAATGAGGAATGGAAAAGATGATGGCCGTATTATTTATGATACAAAGCCAAATTCAATTGGTGTTTCTTGATCCAGGGCTATTGTGATATAATTACAGTAGGACCTATAAATAAATAGCAAAAGGGATGAATTATGGCACTTGGAAGCACTTGATAAATATATGCAACAGCCACGTTTTCTGAGAAATAGCTGATGTTTCAGTAATTCTACAGTAGGTTTAGCAGTCCACTGTTAAGACCTCAACATTTTTTCATTCTTAAAGAGTCAAATTGTCACAAATGTAAACAAATGCAAAGCTATAAATCTAGCAAGTGAGCTTAGTAGTTTTCAGAATGCTGATTGCTTATGATAACATTTCAAAATAGTATAGCTGTTCAGATTGCTATGTAATGTACTGTACCACATTTTAAGGTGTATTTACAGTATATCATATCCTGCTGTTCACAGAATTCTATAGCTTCATAAAGCCACTCTCAAATCCATGGTTCATTTCCATAACCGAGTCACATCGACTCAGAACTTATCTTGGTTTCTGTAGCACTAAGCCAGTCCATCACAGGATCTACTCCCAGATATGCTGGTCTTCATTTATACAAAGTGGACTGGAGCAACTGGGTTAAAGCGCCTCACTCAAGATACTGTACAAAAGCAGTATCTGCAGCAGGGACATGGACCTACAACTCATTAGTTATGAGTCCTGAGATTTAACCGACTACTTAAAGGACTTAACCTGCCACCCTTTACTCAGATTAATACAAGAATAAAAATGTAATACTGAGCATCTTAGCCATTTGCAGTTCAGAAAATGGACTAAAACTATTTGTGTTTTATTGGGATATTGCTTTTCTGAAATATTATGTGCACTTGCATTCAACTGAACTATAGGTTTTAGGAATATAGTGTCCAAAATGTGTTATTTATTTATTTTTTGTGTGCAAACTTCACAGTAAGTGTATGTAATTATAGGAGAGGACTAATTGTGCACAAAGAAAAACTATATGCGTTTGACTGCAGCCTTGTGCACTGAAAAACAAAAACATGAAAGAATAAAAAAGGCTTGTTATAAACCAAATGTCACTGTATATTTTCTTGTTTATCAGAACTACTTATGTCATTATGAATCTTACAAATTGTAATGGTAATGTACAGTCATAGTGAAGTGAAGAAAATAATGTAGCTTTTTCAAAACCATCTATGTCCGTTATGTTTTACAAAATATATTGGTATTATTTATTGCTTTTTTCTTGTGTGCTACATAATGAATGTGTCAAAATGTACCCCTTTCATTGTTTTTTGTATTCATTGTCTTGTACTAAGGCCCTATGATACATGTCCATGTTAGCAAATTAGTCAGAAATATGTATTGAACTGTACCATAAAGTTATATAAAGCTTTCAAAAAGGATCATTTTGTGTATTTATATGTATTTTTGAAGTTCTTTTAGGACATCCTTTTGTTTTGATGTTTTTTTCAAAACAACTTTTTTTTGTATAATATTGATTACCTGAAGGTAGACAGAACCATTTTTTTTTTCCCAAAAGCAGCACATACAAGAAATTCGCAGTGTTTGTATTAGTAAGGCAAGAAGACTCTTAAAGGACACTTCCAAACTGTCTCTATGAATTTTCTTAGTGGTA